TAAAGTTTTTTGCGATTCCTATTGGGTTCCTTTGGGATTCGTGCAGGGTTCATCGGATTCCTGTAAGCTTCCTATAGGATTCCTACAGGACTCCTGTAGGATTCATAGATTTTCCATTGGATTCCTATGAGATTCGTATAGGATTCATATCCTATAGGGTTCCTATAGGATTCCTATGATCCCTATAGGGGTCCTCTAGGATTCCGATCGGAATCCTAAAGGCTTCCTGTAGGATTCCCATAGGAATCCTAGAGGCTTCCTGTAGGATTCCCATCGGAATCCCATAGGACTCGCAGGACCCCCATAGGAATCCCGTAGGACTCGTAGGATTCCCATAGGAATCCCAGAGGATTCATAATATTCCCATGGGATTCCTATCAGATTCGTGGGATTCCCGTAGGATACCCATAGGATTCATAAGATTCCCATTGGATTCCCATCGGATTCGTCGGATTCCCATTGGATTCCCATAGGATTCTTAGGATTCCCATAAGATTCCTATAGGATCCATATAGGACCTATAGAGGATTCCTATAGGATTCCTACAGGATCCATATCGGACCTATAGAGGATTCCTATAGGATTCGTATAGGATTCATAGGAATCCGATCGGATTCCTATAGGATTCGTAGGATTCCCATTGGATTCCTATAGGATTCGTAGGACTCCCACCGTATTCCTCTAGGATTCGTAGGATTCCCATCGGATTCCCATAGGATTCCAGAGCTTCGCTGGTGCAGACATTGCAACATGGCATGAAGGATGGGTCCACCTCTGATAGAGGTGGAGTTTTTGTTTTTTAATTTAACCCTGACCGTTGTTGTGTTGTGTTGTTCCGGGGGGGGGGGGTCCCCGGACGCTCCAGGGCCTGGGAAGGGTCCCTGCCCCCCAAAGGAGGAGAGCGCTGGAGGAGCCCGAGCGCCGGGGCCCAGGGAAGGTCCCTGTCCTTGTTGTTGTTGTTGTTGTTGTTGTTGCTGTTGTTGTTGTTGTTGTTGTTGTTGTTGTTGTTGAACATTATTTATTCTAAAGAATAATTATTGTTGGGCCCCCTGGTGCGCGCCCCCCCTGCGCCGCCTAGGCCGCAGCTACATTTTCATCATTTTCGTGAGGAAGCCTCAGAAAAGAGGGTGTGTACAGGATCCGGTTGTTTTGTTGTAATCCGCTTTCCCTTGCAAAAAACAATAGAAAATTACATTTCTTGTTCTAATATAATCAAATTTCAAGAATCCCTTGCAAAAAATAAGGTAAAGTGGACATTCGCGCGCGCAAGACGAAATCCTTCCAAAACCTTAGTGTTCGCAGCGATTTTAACATAAAAACATCAAAAAACCAATGGTTTTTCAACAAAAAATTGTCAAAATCTCATCCCGCGCGCTCTTGCGGATTCGTAGGAAACCCAACACTTTTTAAACATTTCTGTCAAACGGGCTTTTGCGAGCAACTTTTTCGAACTTCTGCGACAACGGTTGCGCACCTGCCAGGGCCATCATCCCTGTCAAATAATACCATGCGGGACACATTCGTTTTTTCTTCGCGCGCGCACGCCGTCGTCGTCGGCCGCGGGGCCCTGAATAGTAGCCACGGTCGTCCGCATGCCACGAAGTGAAGTGTCCGAACGTCATAGGGCGGGAAGCTGGGTGTGGGTGGTGGCGAAGAGTCGTTTGGAAATTTGGTAGAGCTTGAACCGGCCCCCCCACAAAGTGGGGGTATTGCCCGCCTCCTATGAAAACCCTGGCACTGGTGAGAACGGAGTGTCCCCACGTGCTAGTAATTGTTGTTGTTGTTGTTGTTGTTGTTGTTGTTGTTGTTGTTGTTGTTGTTGTTTTTGTAGTGTAGTGTTGTAGTAGTAGTTGTTGTTGTTGTTGAACATTATTTATTCTAAAGAATAATTATTGTTGGGCCCCCTGGTGCGCGCCCCCCCTGCGCCGCCTAGGCCGCAGCTACATTTTCATCATTTTCGTGAGGAAGCCTCAGAAAAGAGGGTGTGTACAGGATCCGGTTGTTTTGTTGTAATCCGCTTTCCCTTGCAAAAAACAATAGAAAATGACATTTCTTGTTCTAATATAATCAAATTTCAAGAATCCCTTGCAAAAAATAAGGTAAAGTGGACATTCGCGCGCGCAAGACGAAATCCTTCCAAAACCTTAGTGTTCGCAGCGATTTTAACATAAAAACATCAAAAAACCAATGGTTTTTCAACAAAAAAATGTCAAAATCTCATCCCGCGCGCTCTTGCGGATTCGTAGGAAACCCAACACTTTTTAAACATTTCTGTCAAACGGGCTTTTGCGAGCAACTTTTTCGAACTTCTGCGACAACGGTTGCGCACCTGCCAGGGCCATCATCCCTGTCAAATAATACCATGCGGGACACATTCGTTTTTTCTTCGCGCGCGCACGCCGAAATCTCCAAAAACCATTGGGCTTCTTAAGAATTTTAGCACCGCGCATCATAAAATCACACGAATCGCACCGTAGGTCCTCGAAAAACACCTGCACGACTTTTCAAAATTTCTACCCGCGCGCGCTGTCCGAATCCTAAAAAAACCAATGGTTTTCCAACATTTATGTTACATGAGCTCACACGGAGTTGCCCTAAAGATGTGATCAACTATCTTGTGAGTACGTATCATGTGTATCATGTGTATCATGTACCATATGCATCATATGCAACAGATGTTCTGTGGAAGGCTTAACAACTTCTGTGGGTTCACAAGGCTTAACAACTTCTGTGGGTGTACGAACGTAGGCTTAACAACTTCTGTGGGTGTGTACTCCACGCCAGTGTAGTAGCCACGGTCGTCCGCAGGCCACGAAGTGAAGTGTCCGAACGTCATAGGGCGGGAAGCTGGGTGTGGGTGGTGGCGAAGAGTCGTGTGGATATTTGGTAGAGCTTGCACTGCCCCCCCACAAAGTGGGGGTATTGGCTGGCGTCACATGAAAACCCTGGCACTGGTGAGAACACTGAGCGTTCGGGTAAAGTGATTGTTGTTGTTGTTGTTGTTGTTGTTGTTGTTCTTGTTCTTGTTCTTGTTATTATTCTTGTTCTTGTTCTTGTTCTTGTTCTTGTTCTTTTTGTTGTTGAGACCATTGCGGCTATCACTTGGGAATTGTCGGTGCTATGATTACAAACCCAAGGGCAGCTTTCTCGGGTCCCTCTTAGAGGCCAGGGTGGATGCTCTTGGGGCGCTCTTGGGGGCGTTCGTGGCAGACTTGGGGTACTCCTTGGCCCCTCTTGGCGCTTTCTTGGGTGGCCTTAAAGCTATCTTAAGTTCTTAGAAGCCAATCGGGAATGGAAAGGTGAGAAGACAACCATCATCGAACAACTGATCCTGGGTTCATGGATTCTTTGGAGGCTCCGCGGCCACTTGGAACTGTCTTGTGGCCGTCTTGGGGCATCCTAGGGGACTTCTGGAGGCTATGTTTAGTCATATTGGGATATCTCGTGCCATCGTGGAGGCTAGATTGAGCTACCTGGAGCCATCTTAGAGACATCTTGGGCCATCCTCGAGACTCTTCGTCCAGAGCCATGTAATGATTTTCCGAATCGAGTGAGCCAACCCTCAATCCACCCCTCGGCCACAAAGCAAGCATGCCTCGCCCCCGTCTTGCCCTCGGCAACGCAAGACTAGGCGGTGTCCGAGACAGCCACTAAGGTGGCACTCGATGGTCTGATATGGCCTTCGCCAGGGCTCACGGTGCCTGCAGACCGCCACACGATGGCCCGAGGTGACCACGGAACGTCTCGAGGACGGCCCCGAGAGGCCACACATTCTTGAAAGCCTGAGGCCTTTCCGATGCTTGTGGCCGTATCGCGCTCTGGCTGCCGACGCGTAGCCAATCGGTCCCCAGGATCGCCCAAGGGAGGCACCAGGCGGGCCCACGACAGGCCCACATGCGCTTCTGAGGATCCCAAAAGCGCCCCAAGAGGGGGTTCCAGGAGAGCCCCGCATAGCGAAAGGACAAGCCAGCCGTGCGTGACGCCACGCTGGTCGCAAGGCGGCCCCAGGAGGATTTCCCAGGCTTGAATGAGCCCCAGAAGAGCCCGAAGAGAGTCCACAATGGGCCCGAACAGCGCCGAAGCAGAGCTCCAAGAGAATCCCAGAAGCGCTTCAACAGAGCCCCAAGAGGTCCACCCCCAACCCTCAAAGCCGATGCGCCTCCCAGCAAGGGTTTCCATTTCTGCTTCGTCTCAGAGGAGAAACATGGACCACCGCCACCGAGAGCCCATCGGGGGGGGGGCCGACCCCTGTGCGTTGGCACGCCTGAGCGTCGTCGTCTACTGGGCGACGCTCGGGCGTGCCGCTGCCCAGGGGTCGCCCCATACGATGGGTTTTCTCGGTGGCGGCTCCTGCCTTCTTCTATGAAGATTGCCCGCCACATCCAGTCCTCCGGCAAAGAGGGGGTATGGCGAGGGGTTAGCCCATCTCGGAAGGGGAAGAACGGGGTTGGAAGAGGAAGTTGCGTTGCAAATGTGAGCGTTGGCTATGTGCGCCGCGTCCCACTTCCCCGATTCAGTTGGCAATATCGACAAGGGGAATCGTAGCGGGGCTCGGGATGCAGGCGCAGGAGTCGAAGAGGAAGCACAGTTCAACTACTTACGCCCAAGCAAAACCAACCTTGCGCTCAGGGAAGCGATCGGCGGATCGGTCCTCCCTCCATGCAACCTCAGTTTTCGTCTTCTTTCCTCCTCGGAGTGTCCACCATCCCTCTCTCATCCTACCATTCTCTTCCTCCCTCTTTTTCTTCCTCCCATTTCCTCTCCCCCTTGCTTCTCTCTCCTCTTCCGCTCTCCCTTCCTCCCCTCCCTCCCCTCCCTCCTCACCTCTCGTTTTGTCAGATTATCTCCTTTGTTTGGCCTTTCTTGGTTGTTTTATGTGTGTGCTCATATCTACTCTCTTTCTGTCTCCCCCGTGCTCGCTACATACTTGTCGCGCCCCCTTCCTCACTCCCTCTTTCTTTTCTGCCAGTCACTCTTATTGCGATGGGTCGCCGAGCCAGGTTGCCATGAAGGCCAAGAAGTCTGCGAGTCGCACGGCGAAGGACGCGCATTTGGGGGCGATCGACACCCTCTCATGGGCTTTTCACTTTTCCCGCGCATTGGAGAGGGAGAAAGGGAAGTGGGAAAAGGAAGAGTGCAGCTACCCCGCTACCACAAGGAGCGCTGAAGGAAGACCGCCTTCTCTTCTTTCTTCTTCATCCTTCTTCCCTCCTTCTCCTGCCCGAGCGCAGGCGATGTTTGCGCCCGTGCTGACTTCTGTGGGGTCCGCTGCTGGCGTTCTCCTCCTGCCTCGCTCCCCCGTTGCGGGCTTCTTGGGGCGTCGTTTGGGTCCTGCGGGTGGCGGGGAGGAGCGAGTTGAACCCCCGCCGAATGACGACCTCGACACCCACTATCAGGGGCAACAATAGGGGGGGAGGGGGACTGGCATAAAGGGGCGGACACATCGACCTGGACTCGGTGATACATCGCAGGTAGATCGGCGATGGTCCACCGACAGTGGATTTGCATGTTCCTCGGCAGGTTGGGGCTACGAGGCCCCTATTGGCAATCAGTCGGGGATTGGGGGTCGATGCATCCACCCCCTGTGCCTATTCCTCCCTGGTGCTGTCCCTGGCCATGGCTCTGTCTCGAAGAAGCACAAACATCATAGCCATAAACTTTCGGAGCTCCGTGCGGATGTCTTGGATCTGCGCTGGCCCCTCTGCGCCAGGGAGGGGGGTCCAGCACCGATCCAAGACATCCGCACGGCCCTACGATGTTGTTACCCCATCCAGTGTTTGGACTTGGGGCTTCTTGCTTGTTCCCCCTGAGAAACTGGATGGGCGCCTCGTGGGAGTCCCATGTGCTGGGTGTATCCGCAGAGGTTTCGCCACGTTGCCGCACGTGGGCGCCTCGTGGGCGCACCGTGCGTGCACTGCACATCTCACACCACATATGTTACACCTCGAAGCTCACACCAAGTAGAGTGCACCACATAGCTTGCACCGCATAGCTCACATGTCGCAGCTCACACCATACATATATACTTATGTATATATGTGTATATATACACAACGTATTGCGCCACATTGATTGCACCACATGGCCCACGACACACGTGTTGCACTGCATACGATGCACCACTTTGATTGCACCGCGCAGCCTGCTCCATGTAGCTCGCGCCACGTATGTTGCACAACAGTGTACCTCATAGCGCACCACAGTGCACCACTTGGATTGCACCACAGCGCACCACAGTGCACCACACACGCAACGCACATTGCAACACACACGCACCACAGTGTGTGTGGGGGGGGGGCAGATGCCCTCCAGACGGGCCGCTTCTGCCCCCTCCCCCCCGTCGGGCGACCCACCCAGACCCCTTTGCCAGAGACCCCCCCCCGCCCTCCAAGGCAGCCCCAAGTCAGACCCCTCCTCAGATCAGAGCCCCCCACTTCACTACAGAATTGAGGGTGCAGTCAACCCGCGTAGTAAGGATGGGCAACCTTCCCAAGGTTACACTCGCATCCTTGCCTCCTCGGCCCATCCTTGGCCAATCGTTGGTCGTGTCCCGCTCGAACAGCTCCAAGCTGGCCTTCAAGGCCCTTGCATCCTTCTCGTGCGTCCTCAGTATACGGGTTGACTGTAGCTTCTATTACATATATTCTCCTTTCCAAACAAGAGGTAGGTTCTACCACCCTTCCCCCCCGCGGGGTTACAGTTTCACCTTTTCGTATTGCAGTTTACATATGAGTCTGCCCCATCGCCCATCCTAAATATGAATTTGCACTATCCCAGGGGGTGCGGTATCGCCCCCCCCGCCACCACCTGCAAAAAAATACAATGCGCGCGCATTCGTTTGTCAAACATCATAAGTTTTCAAAGACCCCTTGCAAACAATGGGACGAAGTGTACACGCGCGCGTCGTCGCGCGCGCATGCCGAAATCCTTCAAAAACCTCGGGTTCCGGCCTTCATAAACCTCGGGTTCCGGAAGGTTTCAACATCGAGTGTCAAAACCAATGTATATATATATATATAAAAACACAGGGTGTCGCAACACGGATTTTCAACAACAGCGTGCGCGCTTTTGCGAATTCTAAAGCAAACCATATTCTTTTCTCCAAATTCCCATTAGATTCTGCCAAACAGGCCTCTCGCGACGCACGCCGAAATCAGTCGAACGCTTTTGCGCGCGTGCTGGGGGGGCACGAGTCGTGTCGCGGCCGCTCTCGCGCGTCGGCCGCGCCCGCATGTCGAACTCCTTCCAAAACCTTCCTCCCCGACGCGCGAAAACGCCGTCATCGTCGTCGGCGTGATCAGCATCGGCGCCGTCACTGGCCGCGCCGTCCTCGCTGTCAACATCGTCAACAATATCGCTACGATCATCATCGTGTCTACCGTTGTCGACGTCGCCATGATACGGTGCCTACCCACGTCGCCGACTCGCTGTGAAGTGCCCGCTCGGATGTGCCCAACGGTCAGCTCCACCGCGGCCGCGTCGGTTGCGCCAAACTAGGCGGCCGCTGCGTGCGCGTGCATGCGCGGGTTGGCGCGGCCGCAGAAACGCACCAGCCAACGCCAAGCACTCATCACAATCGCCGCCGCATAGGTTTTGCAAACCAAGTTGCGGGTGGGTGGGTGGGATGTTTGCGCGAGCAGTGGAGTGGACAACTCATTGCGAGCGGAAATTATTTGCACACCATACATTGCACCGACTAGCTCACAGTACATATGTATATCAATGTTTCTAATTATTTATGTACTTACTTGCTTTTGTTATATATGTACACAACCAACATACACGCAATCATCCAACCATACGTGCGTACCTACAAACGCACATACACACATACATGTATACAATGCATACATTTAGAAACACACATCCACATCCATCCACACATACGGACATACATACAGGCACACATACATACACATATACGCATCACATATACCTTACACACTCGCATGCATACACACATACACACATGCATCCACACATACATACATACACACACTTACATACATCCATCCATCCATACACTCACGCATCCATCCATCCATACATACATACATACATACATACATGCATCCGTACATACATATATATATACATGCATACATATACGCATGCACGCATGCATGCATACACAGAAGCATACCTAGATGCATCCATCCATATGTACATACACGCATACATACGTACATCCATGCACACACGCATACACATACATGCATGCATTCCAACATTCATGCGTGCATGCATGTACATGCAGACACTCATACACACATCCACACATACATACACATACATACATCCATACACAATACATATATACATACATACACGCACACATACATACATATACACACATACAAACATACATACATACACACAGACATACATACATACATATATACATACATACATACACACATACACACATGCATACATACACACATACATACATACATACATACATACACACATCCATACACACATACATACCTACTTGCATCCATCCATCCGTACATACATACATACATCCTTATACACATACATCTATACATGCACACATACATACATACATACCTACATACATACATGTATACATACATACATACACACGTACAACAATACAACCATACACACATCCATCCATCCATTACATACATACATACATACATACATACATACATACATCCATACACACATACATACATACATACCCACACATACACACATACATACATACATACATACATACATACATACATACATACATACATACATACATACATACATACATGCAGACATGCATACATACATACATACACACATATATACCTGCATACATGATACCCACATGTACATGCATCTGTATACACATATCTAGAATCAGCGCACGTACTCATACATTCGTCTAATGGTGTTCGGCCGATCCCGACACCCTGCCTGGGTTATGGGCCACTTTTGGGGACCCTTCGGGGCCTCTGGAGTGCGAGCCTTTTAGATGCCTTTTGGGGGGGCTCCTCGGGGTCTCTCGGGGGGCCTCGTGGGGGCCTCGTTGGAGCCTCTCGGATGCCCCCAGGGGCCGAGGGCTCGAAGTATCCGTTCGGGCTCCCCTGTCTGGGGGTTAGACGCTGCCTGATTGCATTGGGTGGTGGTGGTGGGAGGGTGTGCGGGGATACTGTATAACGCGACGGAAGAGGAGGAGGGCCACGATGACGATCGTAATGGTGACGGTGATGATGATGACGATGATGGTAGTCACGTTGATGATGAGGAACGTGGGGACTGAATCTGGATTGTTATCATTATGCTGAGGGGGAGAGGGATGCGGGTCGTGGTCAGGAGGAGGAGGAAGATGAGGAAGAGCAGCAGGAAGAGGAGGAGGATCAGGATGAGAACGAGGACGTGGATGATGATGAAGATGATGAAGATGATGAAACTGATGATGATGATGATGATGATGATGATGATGATGGTGATGGTGATGGTGATGGTGATGGTGATGGTGATGGTGATGGTGATGGTGATGCTGATGATGATGGTGATGGTGATGATTATGCTGATGCTGATGCTGCTGCTGATGCTGATGCTGATGCTGCTGCTGCTGATGATGCTGATGATGATGGCGAGTAGTGGAGCAGGGGAGAGGAGCAGGGGACGAATGGGGGAGGAGTGGGCGAGGGGGGTGGGAAGGGGGTGGGAAGGGGGCCCATGAGGGGGCCAAGCGCAGCGATGTGGAGCAGGCGGGAGGCGACGGGCTCCTCCGCTCTGCACCCAAGGTGCGGAGCGCCCGCCGTGCCGCGCTGCCAGGCCAAGGGCGTGGTCAAGAGCGCCGCTCCTGCGCAGAAGATCCGCATCGGCGTGCTCGTCGGGAAGGACTTCGACCCGGTGAAGAAAGGCACCCAGGCACGCTCCTCCTCATTCCTCCCTCCTCCCTCCTCCCTCCCTCCTGCCTCCTTCCTCCTCCCCTCTCCCTCCCCTCCCTCCTCCCTCCCCGTCGAGCCTCACTCGTGCGCCTTCTGGGCGGGGTCGGCTCTTGCGACGTCCATCGGCACCGCTGGGAGAGAGGGTTCGAGGCCTTCTCTCCGAGGGCGGGTTGCTGGCCCGTCCTGTGGCTCCTCCTTGGCCCCCCCCCCCCGAAGCGAAGGGGCAAGAAAGGTTCCCTCCGCTTCCCTGCGGCTTGATACAGTCGGGCCGGATTAGTAGGTCGACCCTGCCAAGTCAAGGGTACCCTTGTATCCTGTGTCTCGCGGCCCATGCTTCCTACATTCCTGTGGCAACGTGGCCCTCGAAAGGGTCTTGTGTCCTCTCGCGCGTCCTGTCCAATCAAGCCCGACTGTAGCTCGTGTCTTCAGCGGCCGTTCGGGACGATCCAGACACTTCCAGAACGCTCTCGGCGAGGCGCAGCTCCTGAAGAGCATCCCGACTTTCCACGAAACGAATACTTACGCCCCCCCCCCCCCCCCCCCGCGCCTTGTCCACGACCCTTTCCACTCCTTTCTCTGCCTCTTTCTCGGCATCCTTTCTCGGCATCGTCAAACGAACACTTAAGCCCCCCCCCCCGCGCCTTGTCCACGACCCTTTCCCCCCCTTGCTCCCCTTTCTCTGCCCCTTTCTCGCGGGGAAACTACGTTCAATCTTCGGCGGCGAGCAGGGGGGGAAGTCGGGAGGAGCAGGCCTTCTCCGAAGGCCGCGGGACTTCTCAGAAGCCCTCGCGCCTCCTGAGAAGTTGCTTGCTGTCTTCTCGAGGAAGGCTTAGAAGAAACTCCTCAGAAGCCTGGGTGCCTTCCGATAGGGGGCCACATGCGAACCCTACCCCTACCCCCCACGATTTTTGAGGGGGAGGGTGGGGTAGGGTTCGCGTGTGACCCCCTGTCCGAACCTTCCAAGAAGGCCGTCTCCTTCTTGTTTTCCCGCCTCGCTCGCCGCCGAAGTCCTCCTGCCGTCCTGTTCGCCCGGCCGCCCTCGCTGCTGCGTCTCTCGCCGGTGCCTCCCTCCCCCGTGGGCGCCTCCACTGTGGAAGGTCTCCTGCGGACTGGCCTCCACCGTAGGTGGGGCAGGGCTGGACCTGAACGGTGCTCTGGCGACTTCGTGGGCCGTTTTCGTCTCGATCTCGTTTTGCGGCACAGGCGCATCGAAGACAACGCGAGGGAAAACGAAGCTAGCACGAAGACGAACAGCACCGTTCAGGTTCGGCCCTGGGGCGGGGATCTCCCCAGCGAAGCTCGGCGCAACGACGCCCGGTCTTCCTCTCGCCCTGCTCGCCCGGCCGTCCTCGCTGCTGCGCCCCGCGCCCGGTGCCTCCCTTTGCCCCCCCTCCCGCGGGCCGCGAGCCGCGAGCCGGCAGAGCGCCGCGCCGGCCGCCCCCCCGCCCGCCGGGCCCTCGGCCTCGGCCAGGGCGAGGCGAGCTCGGGGCTCGCCTCGGCCGGCCGGACGAGCTCGGCCTCGGCCAGCTGGCCGAGCTGCCTCCGGGATTTCGCTTTCGGTCTCGGCTTCGGTGGCTGCCGATGCCGGTGCGGTTTTACCTGGGGCCCCGGTCTTGGGCTTCGGCCTCGCACGGGACGCCTGCCGGCCTGCCGACGTCTGCCGATGCGGCGTTTCCCCGACTCGGCTGCCGAGTTCCGCCGATCCGATGCATGTCGATCGCCGATTCGACTCGTCGATTCGATTCTGCCTGGCTCCTCCCGGGTCCTCTCGTTTCGCCCTCGGTCTCCTCCTGTTTCCCCCCCTCCCCCCCCCCCCCGCGAAGGAGAAAGCAGCACAGCATAAGCACCCACTTTTGTGACGCTTCCTTGCTCATGCCGCTTTTCGTGCCTCGACCCTCTCCCATCTCCCCAGGGATTGTACCATGACTCCCGGGGACCCGTTTTTGGGGGTGTTCTTGGATTGCCTGGCCGCCTTGGGCCCTGGCGGTCCCTCTGGGGCCGCCCCCGGCCTCTCTGGGGGATCTCTTAGGCCGTCTTTGGGGCTCTCCTTCTCCCTCCTCCCGTTCCTGTCCCTGGCTGGACGAAAGGGGGGGATTGGGAAACGGGGGGGGTACGAAATCTGCTGCATGCAGCTGGTTTCGGCCCTGCCGCCGGGCCCATTCCTCGATACATGGGCGCCTCCCGGCGCCGGGAGGCGCTGGGAAAATCAGCCACGTGAGCTGATTCTCAAACACCCCTTTTGCTATCCCCCCTTTCGCCCGGCCCGATCCTCCCGTTCCTGTCCCTCCACTTCCCTTTTCTTTCGCTGCCCCTGTCCCTGTCCCTCATCATCCCCCTCCCGTTCCCGCTCCCCCTCCTCTCTACAAGTATACACAATCTGAGCACCTCTCTCCTCTCTCTCCCCCGAGGACTTCCTGAGGGCGGTGCCCACCCGTGCGTATAGTCTTCCACGCACGGGATGGGTCTGTTTTGGGTTGTCTTCCGCGTGTTTTGCAGTCCGAGCGTTCCTTCCGAACTGGAGCCCCTGCTGCAGCGCTTGCCTCGATCTAGGATCGGCGCGCTTTGCTCCCGTCGTTGAGG